GCGGTTACAGGAACGGCGGTCGTAGCGACCGGAGATAACACACGAGAAGGAAGCGGCTGATCATATGCGTGTAAACGAGCGAATGAACGAATAAACGTGATGCGCGACAGATCTGCGTGACTGTGGCTATGTTTCAAAATTGATTGCTTGTATTAAAAATCTATAGTGCACGTAACTGTAGCATTTTCAACGCTGGCAGTAAATTTGGAGCACAGCCTTGTGTGATATATAGTTTTCTCCTGTTTTTTTTTATTTTAGTTTTTGATGCGCGTTTTATAAGCCAAGAAGTTACTTACGTGTTGGAAGCAGAGGTTGACTATCGTATATTTCGCCTAAGAATGAACATCGCGAAGTTCTACTTGTTTTAGTAGTGATGTGTACTCGATTCCATTATTTTGAGCGATTCTGTTATTGTGATGTTTCTTATCGTTTTAGGCATCATTTGAAATCTCAGGTCTTTCAAGAATTAAAAAAAACTTGTCTTTATTCAAAAAATGATAATCTTAACAATGCAAAAGTCTTGAAATTTTTGAAAACTGAAAGTCATAAACGATTAAAACCTCTCGTGAAACAGAAATACTTTGTAGCATTCCATATAGAATATATATTATTTTTTAAAGTTTAGATTAAGTTATAGAAACCTATATAGTCAGTGTTTTATTAGAATTAATTCAAAATGTTATATTCAGAATTTTAAATATTGTTTCTTATTTTTAAAACATTTAAGAAAAATGTCGTGAAATGTGTTAAGAAAAAATTTTTCAAGATTTTAATAGTTGTTAAGATTGTTATGACTCTTAATTATTTCTTCCATATTCCCAGAATTGTATGTTTTTAAAATAACTCGAACAGTACGTTTATTAACATCATCACTACTGAGAACTGTAGATTATTTTTATAATTGGAAGTGCCTCACTTCTAAGAGATTTTTTCAATATACATACTAGACAAGAAAAAAATCTCTTCGCGATCGTGACATTCTTGGATACGTAGGGTGACGTTTAATTACATACAACAAAAACAGTACTCTAAACAGTATTTTAAACAAATATCTAAAAAAATAAAATATATATTAATGCGTGTAAAATTATTTTAATATAACATTCTGCATCAAAGATAAAATATATGTTAGTGGTAATAAAAATTGTTTCATTAGTACATGATTACTTTGTATTAATAATGAGCGAATTAATTAAAATTCGAAGGAAGGAAAGAGGTTGAGAGAGAAAAAGAGAAAGACAATGATTATATAATGAACCTAAAATTTATTCAGCGACCAACATATTCTAGTCATACATGCAGATTCGAAGCGATTACCTCTATTAGAAGAAAAAAAGTCTTATAAGAAACGCTGTTACACTAAATTATTTAGGAAAAATTAACATTTTTTGAATTTTATATATTATGTATTTACTTAATGTATGTGATTAAAAATTACCCTCTATTTTATATATATATATATATATGTATACACGTATATTAAGTTTTATATGATCTGTCGCGCGAATATTCATACCCGAATGTATTGAATGTTTTGATTTCATTCATGATCAACCATTAAATCTTAAACGACGCGAATCAATTATTCATTATGAACAGTTCATACAGTCGGGACCGATAAATTATTATAATACATTGTATGATAATAAATTGTATGATGAAAATGGAAAATTTTTATCTTTCTACTTTTTGACTGAAATCCTGAGTACGCCTATGCAAATGCCTATAAACAATTACTAAGGCCGGTATTCATAGTCGGTTCTTATTTTAAGACCGTCTTAAGTAATGTCTTAAGTCGCTAATGCGGCCTTCTAATTGGTTCATGACATCTTAAGACTGTACTTAAGACGGTCTTAAATATAAGATCCGACTATGAATACCGGCCTAAGTATTAAATATTTCAAGATCATAACAGTTCAAGTGTTCCAGAGTAAATTTTGTTGTTTAATTTTTTTTATTTCTCGTGAGAAATTATTTCGGGGATCTAATAGAACAGACTACAACCTAGTAAATATAGCAAGTTATCCATTGAGAATATGTAGGTGTAGTACGGACGCGCACTGTATCCATTTTCGGCACTATGATTTTATCGACAAGGTCGCAAAATGGCTGTGCTATGTAATGCACATTTTTATAAAATGCATATAATGGCGGTAGTGTATATACAGGAGATTTCGTCGGGAAAAAAAAGGTTAGGATGTCCTCTATTGTCCCATATTGTCCTATTGTCAAGTGTTGCCAAATTTCTGCATTCTATGCGTTTTATGCGTTTGATGCAAGAATAATTAGATTAAAAATATAAAAGTTTACACGATTTCGAGCATATGTAATAATCAAAATGGAGCAGGTATTACAGCATATATATAAACTACGATCAATATGTTCATATATGACAAAATTTTAAAAACAATTTGTGCATTGTTAAATGAAATTGTTCTACTATTAAAGCACCTGTTTTGCAGAATAATGCATTTTATTTGTTGATTACGTTTAAATCTATGTGTCTTATATGCTGATAATTACGTCTTTCTAATTCATAAAAATGTATAGTTAATCCTGTATTCCTTCCAGACTTTTTTAACGTAATTACTCGCGAGGTGTTTTTAACACCCCAACATTATATCTCAATTTTCATTGTTCTCTTTGAGATGATTTATAATTAAATAAAATTAATATTATTTTGTACATCCTTAAAATAAAGAGATAAATACAAATTTATTTTAGTTAAAATATACATTGTGTTATATATAAAATAATGTGTATAAATTACATCTATACATTTAACGAATTTATAAGGCTGAGTTATTTCGGATACTAATCATTGAATTGCTGTTATTTTCCTGGCGATTTTACTTCTATTAAAATTAGAAGTTATAAAAGTGGTTAATTATGCTGCTAAGTTACATATTTAGAATATTTAATTATTTGTTCCTGATTTTTACATCTGTTTATTTAGGATTTGAAAGCTAAAATTGATCATGCTTGTCGCACTGCAGAAGACTTCACAAAGTTATATTATGAATCTTTAGACAAGCGGAGATATGTAAGTAATAATAATATTGTTAAATATATTATTTCTTGATTATGTTACATTAATATAATTAATATATAATTTTAGCTGATTTCAAGAATGTATATGGATACCGCTACTTTGATATGGAATGGAAATGGTGTAACAGGCAAAGAAACTATACAAAAATTCTGGACAGATTTACCACCTTCAGAACATACCGTTCATACTCTTGATGCTCAACCAATTACAGGTAAATTACAGTTTCAATAACTGCACTAAATAAATTATAATAAATTTGTATTTTTACTATAAAAGTATCAAACATATAGAAGTTTAGAAATATTTAATAATATTATACATTATATATTGTATCTTACTTTTTATTACTTAAATTTTGATAGAATTTATATTTGATATAAATAAATTCTCAGTCGCATCTAAATAACTTCTCTTATTTTAATGCTTGTACATTTATTTCATTATGTAAATATTTATCTCAATAATACGCGAAACAAAAAATTTTCTATTGTTGTACTATGTTAATAATAGGTCCAGAGGTAGCCAACCAATTAACATTTCTTGTCAAGATCGGCGGTCAAGTAAAATATGACGAGAAGAATTCAAAATCATTCAATCAAACCTTTTTAATTACGGCTATAGGCGATAAATGGAAAATTGTAAGCGACTGTTTTCGAGCACAAGAGCTATTAGATAACAATACAAGTTAGCTACTTTAAGTAGGTGCATTAAGATTATAATAAACTTATTTTATACTGTAAAACAGCTCAATATTTTGAGGAATTTCTCTCCTGTGATATGTACAATATATGATGCATACAAATACATATATATATAGATATATAATATATATGTATCTATATACATACACACATACATATATATAGTAAATTCATAATATATGTATTTATTTATGGCAACATAAAAGCAAAGTAATAATTTAGTACATTATCATCAGAGTTAAAGCTGAACAAAACTCAACTGAAAAGATTTGGTAACTTTTTTATGTTTAATTTTTTATATTAACGTATAAAAGTAATATTAAACTTTTATATTAATAAACTAATATGATGGTTGAATTTGTAAATGAATTATTTTACAAAAGAGATTACAAATATACAAAATACAATGCACACAAATAAAATTATTATAGCAAAGGAAAAGTAATAAAAGATATAAAAGTCGCGTTTTTCTTTTATTATAGAGAATAGAATTTTCTATTTTCAAAAATGTATTTACACAAAGAAAAATAAGTTGTCGATTTTATTTCTGTGACCTATTAAATGTTTACTAATTTATTGTGATATTTGAGATATTGTTAAGAACCGGGTATTAAAATCATTAAGGTCAAGAACAAATCCTCAGATATAATTTGGCTTTTGTTTCGTACGCAATGAGCAAGTTATCTCAACATCGAAAAGAACGTTTGTCGATCGGAAGACCATCAAATTTATAAAAAAAAAAAAATTGGAAGATATATTAAAATTACTCTATTTCTTTTAATTTTTCCGTATTTTTAAACTCTGACACAGTATTACATCGAGTGTTATATATATGCTCTTAATTCTGATAGTGCATTATCACTACGTACGGTACAAGTGAGCAGATAATTTTACACTCCAGTACGGTACGTATTTCTTTTCTAGAATATTCCATGAATTGATTGTTAAATCTGAGCACATGCAACAATTTTCTAAAGAATGATATTCCGGATTTATGCTTATATAATATTTTATTATTAATATC